CTCTAGAGTCTTACAGATCTACCAATATATGTGTTCTGGGGTTCTAATTTCTGGTTATATGAACACTGGATGGGGTAGAGAGCAAGTATGAATGTTGTGTCAGTGGCTGCATGATTTGTTTCTGTGTTCAACAATGTCATGCACCGACTCTATTTTTTTCAGTTTTTCATTACACAAGGTTCTGTGTTAATGTTTTCAGCTGTTTACATGCAAAATAAAAAAAATCGAGTATAACAAACAGATGTTCATGCTCAATGAGCTAATGTGTAGATTAAATAAAGATGCAGAGGGAAAAAAACTGGGCAAGAGACAGATGTACTAAAAAGGGTAGGTTGTGGTAGATTTGACACATTTTGCAATGTGGCAAAAGTAAGCATAGCAACAAAACACAAGGTGGTCATTCTTGCATCCTGAAGTAGGGATGCCCAGATACCATGTACTGTATTGGTACAAGTGCAAATACTTTTCCAGCTACTAGACTAGAGTTTGGAGGTAGCTGTCATTTTTAAGGAGCATTGGCTATGGGGCTCCTGGGATTTGTGCATCCCTGTTTTACTGTATGATTTGTTTTATATATATTAGGGATGCACCTATACCATTTTTTCAAGACCAATTACAAGTACCAATACTTTTCCTCACAGATACCAATTATGTGAGAGTTTTTCTAAAACAATACAGACCAATGATTTCAGGACAGTGGTGGAGCGCCAAAGCCCAGTCACGGCTGCGACCTTGGTAGTTCTCATGAAAATGCCAAATACCGGCACTGGTATCTGAACTGGTATTTGTGCATCCCTATTCTAAAGGGCTCACTTCAGCAGAAAGTTTGCAGCTGACAGGTGTTTCCAGATATGTTGTCCAAATATTTCTGCAGAAGCATTACCAATCAAGGTTGAGGATGAAAACACAGTGGTTGGCCATGGTAAATAAGTGCAGCAGGAGAAATGCATCAAGTTTACTTCCCTTCAAAATCAGATGTCCAACACAGCTATTAGATCAGAGCTGGCAGAAACCACTGGAACTCTGAATCACCTATTTAGAGTCTGGAGAAAGTTTATCAGAAGTGGTCTTCATGAACGAGGTAGGAAAAAAAGCAATTTCTTAGTGCTAGAATAAAGCCAAGCAACTACATTTTAGAGTGCAGAAAATTTTTAAAAAAGTGATTATAACAGACGGCAGTTTGTTCACCAAAAGGATGGAGAATGGTACTTGAATGAATAATTGCAGGCAATAGTGAAGCACGGTTCTCTACAGGTTTGGGGATGCATTTCTGCAAAGCGAGTTAGTTAGTTGATCAAAAGTTGATAGCCCCCTTACTGCTGAGCGCTACAGACTGATTCATATGCAATACCATCGAGGACTGGATGGTCCCAAGTTTGTTTTCTTTTTTTCTGAAGGATGACAATTACTGTAAACACATGACATAAGCTAAATTTAGCTCAAAATGAATGAATTGTGCAACAGAATCCTGATCTTAACTTCATCAAGTCAATTTCAGATTACTTGAGAGAGACAGAAACAATTAAAGCAGCATAGTTTGCAAAGGGATGTTTTGCTAAATTATTAAAGAAGCTTGGAACAACCTAACACATAAGTACTTTCAGAAACTGTGTGCAAGATTTCCCTTCAGTGGACACCACCAAGATCATTTACAGCTACACCAGGCATAAAAATAGATGTGATTAGTTTTAGTCGATTTGATTTTTTCAAGGTGATTGTGAGGGATGAGCACAAATTAGCAAATTGTGCAAAAGGACAACAAGGTACATATTTGACTTCAACATATATGGGGAAAAGGACTGCACAAAAATATAGGAATACATAGTAAACTTGTCTGGCTATTGATGCACCCTCTCCTCCACAAAGGCTACCACCTGTACATGCATACTTACTAAACCAGTGTGCAACTATTTCAGTCTTTGCATGCTGTAAACATCAGAGAATGCAAGACCATGAAGAAAAACTGCAAAGATTCCCCACAGTAGCTGGTAAGACAGCATCTACAGTGGGGCACATTAATCATTTATCAACAATAGGAACTGCTGGTCATCATTTTACTGGCCAGAAATACGCACAGTATATATGCTCATAACTATCCACCCAGAGGGTACAGTGGGTGTGTTGGAATGCGGGTCAGCTACACTGAGGCAAAAGCATACAACTGCATTCAACAAGTACATGGGTGCAGTTAAGCAGATATTACAGCCCTACCTGGTCAAGAGAAAATGAGGAAGTGGAATAAAAAGTTTGCAATACAGCTAATCCAGGTTGCCCTCCACAACTCATTTATGTGCTATAAAAATCCAGCAGTTTTCTTCAGTAAAAGGAAAAAAGTATAAGGAATGTAATTCTTTAGCAAGAACCCAGACATCCTGCAGGGTCAGAGGATGTTAGGAGACTCACAGAAAGGCATTGTTTGTGCCCTACCCCCTCTATGCTAACCCTTAGAAACCCAAGGAAGAGGTGCCAGGTGTGTAGAAAAAATGGAATAAAATGTGAAACTTATTACCATTGTCCCATGTCCCAGGAATTAGATTTTGAGTAATTGCCCTCTCTAAAGCAAAATACAAACTATTGTTTCTGGGCTCTACAACTGTAACAAATAAAATGGACACGCGTGTGCTATCCCCATGGAAGTCAGTCGCAATAGAATGCATTTTGGATTGTTTTTTGGTTGTGAGTGCTCTCCTTTTGGGAAACTTTCTTTTGCTGTTTCTTTCAATGTGCATTTTGTGGATGTATTAATGTAGTTGCCCTCGGCATCCTTTCCAATCCATGCTGTTACACCTGCTTTTAAGTGTCAATTAGCTACATTTGAAATCACTATTTCTAGGTCTGTATTGCCATTTGCACCCCTGCACTGCCGAACAATAAGACCTGTGGGCAACAAAGTACAGTTGAACACTGGTACCAGATCTGAAAGATGCTGCTACAGAAGGATCAGCTTATCCAAACAGGGAACCATTTTCCCACTCCTTTTTTATTAAAGACATATATTATAAATAGAAAATAAAGTACAAAATAAATCAAATTAAATATTATTCTTGAAATTCAAATAAAGTTAGGTCAAGCCATAGAACTGTTGTTTCTTGGTATTTACAAGATGAAAACAAAAAGTTTAAGAAGACAAATATGTGGAGTAACATTCAAAACTATTATATCACTATTGGTAAAAACAGACATGTAGACTAAACAAGCAATATTTTTCTGATTTGGCAATAACGAAAATGTAAAATCTAAGTACATCTGAGGCTTCTTGTCCTTTGGATATTTCTTTATTGGAAAATGTAAACTGTGGATTATACATTTCAGGCTTATATTTAATAATGCATTTCACTGATCAGTTATCTTGAAGTTTATATTGTATATGGTATAATAGCCTGTTAACTTTAATCTTAATGGATCAATCTCCAAAAAATGTTTTACATGAAAACAAAACTCTTATTTTATGCATTGTTTAATACAAATTAATTTTCTTTTACAGCTAATGTGTATCAACATTTTTTTTTACTGATGCTATTGTTGAAATGTGACATGTAGATGAAAATAAATTATTTAGAGGAAACACTATATGTTGCATTGGAATCCATTTATAGAAATAATATTGTAAATACTCTATAAAATATATTTTTATGAGAAACTAGTTATATCATGACTTTTTAAAATGTGAAACATTTAAAAAATACTTGATAAGTGACTTTTTTAATGAACTATACATGTATACTGCTGCTTCTCAGCAATATCATTGTGGATTTAGTATTTAATGATTTCACATGAGAAAGTTTGAATGAAGCCCATAATATTTTGCATAGTTGCCAGTTAAATACATGCTTACAGGGATGCCTGTCTTATTTATGCTATAAAAAACCTGTATGCTAGAAAAATTAATATAGGCTTCTTATGGAAATATACAGCATAACTGTATTAGCTCTGGCCAAATGCAAAAAAAGTTATGAGTGGTCTTGCTGCATAAGGATGTTATCACTGTGAGCCGGTGCACTCTGGGAATAAAAAGGCCCTGTGAGCCCCATCAGTGGTGTAATGGAGAGGGGGTAGATGCAGGTAGGACAGTAATTCCCCAAAATGTCTGCTATAGGTTAAAATTACTTTGGAAACATACAGTATGGTCATAATAAATATTTTAGACTTTTTATAAAGAATTAGATTAATAATCAATGTCACTATTTTAATATTTATTCTAGTATTAAGGGATTCAAGGTATCCAGACGAGCAGCAATAAATACATTTTGCAAGTATATTTTAATAGATGTTGTGAGATACAATATATTTATTAGTTTACCTAAAAAAATAACATACAAATCAAAATTATTTTTGTACTTCATTCAGGTTCTTAACACAGATTCATGGAAAAGTTATTCTTTAAAAATATGCTTACATTTTCTATTACTTAAAAGAAATTAAAAATGGAATACTCATATATATTACTTTCTGGCTTTCAAGCCTAATCTATTTAATGGTGATATTAAATTATTAGGTACATAAGAGTCTTTTGAATTCCAAATGATTCTTTAACTTGTTTTAAAGCTTAATACATTTGTTAATTTTGTAAATAGAAACATTATGGTTTATTTCTAGGAAATTGTATACATTATTTGATGTACTAATATATCAAAAAGTACAATTTGCAAGCAATTAAAAAGGAGTGAAATTATTAATAATATTAAATTATAATACATGCTTTTTGTATAGCTTTGAAACAATAACTTTCCTAGGTGAAAATAATGTCAACAAATTATAACTGCCCAAGTAACTTGTATACAGTTTCAAAGACTTACCAGATGCCAAAAATACAACAAAACAAAAAGGTCATTAATGACTAAAATAAATAAACACAAATGAAGACAAAAGATATATATCTTATTGCCATTTAAACAAATATGAAAATATTCTTATTTGTATGAATTTTTTATTATTCCAATTGTAGGTGGATTTTGTACTTTTCATTTTATTCAAATAATTAGCTTTAAAAAACATGACTATTTATTTCAATTAATTAGTAAGATGAAAATGAGATACAAATTAATAAAGTTTATTAAGAGAAATTAATCATATTTTGCTTCACATCAGTTTTGTTTAATAAAACATAAAATCAAATATCAATTAAAGAAAGATACCAAATAATGCTGGGGTATCTGCAATCAGTAACTAGATTCTTCTTCAAGTATCCAGTAAATTTCAAAATGTATTTAAAAACTAAGGAGCACTTGGTGGCCAGCAACCAAATTACAACAAATGTCATCGAGTAGCAGAATCTTCATATTGAGGAAAGGAGTTTCTGAAAGTCCTAATTTGTAACAAGGCAGTGGAATGAGTTTAGAACCAGAGTCCACTCTCTGAAGATGAATGTGATAATTTTCTAAAGAGCATACTCATTTGTCTCCTAGAGTAGCTAAAAATTCTTCTCTGAAAGCAAAACAAATAATTAAAACACTTCCCCCTAAAAAGCAAAAACAAAAATAGTCATGTTAAGACATACCAATTGCTGTTCCATACAACTATTTTACAATTACAGTTTTATATAAAGCACACAGCAAATTAAAAAATATGAAAACTATTACAGCATTTAAAAACCCTGAAGACAATCTTAAATTGTATATGAAAGACACATACAATTACAATTATCACGGTTTTACCTTCACTGTAAGGCATGCAAAAACATAATTTAATGTCATTAAAAAAAATTGTCTTTTTATGACACAATACTAACAACCGTATGAATCAAATATATTTGGTTTTCTCTTCATATTTTTATTGATTGTGTATATTTTTTTCTATTATTATGAAAAATAACATATTAATAGCTGATTAGTGGAAGTAATAAAATAATGCAAAAACATTCAAAAATGATATCACGCATGCCATCCTAAAAATGATGGAATGCAGAATTTATTATGTCCATTTATGTGTTACTTTATTGTTACTTATGGTTGCATATAAGAATAGCATCTAAGGGTAACATCTTGCTGGGTTTAGGTCAAATTTATGTCTGATGCACAGATGGCTCAGAAAAAGAAGTACTGTCTTTCAACTATTGTTATAAGTAGGAACAAGCATCTCAGCCCAATCAAACCAGGATTCTCCTTGTGTGTGGTAACAAATTGCCAATTTGTCTAGTCATACTGATTATTGTCTCCATAATCTAATTGAATGCACTATTTTCTAGCATTAAAAGCAAGGTCTCCACTGAAGCACTGAGTCCATAAACTGATACTTACATCAACCTTACAGTTATCAGGAACCTGCACATTTTCTAGTCTGAAACAACCAAGGGGTCTATTCACGAAGCTGCCGAGGGCAGCCGAGTGAATGACCGATCTGAAGTGAAGTGAGCCGAACACTGTTCGGCTTTTCACTTCAGGCTGGTACGGCTAATTTCAGCCGTACATCGGCTGAAATCAGCCATACATGGGCTTGCTTCATGTGGCTTCGGGTCGGCCGAACATACTCAGCATGTTCGGCCGACCCGAAGTGCAGAAGGAGTTCGACTCAGCCGATCCAACATCCGGCAGGCTACTCCCTGCTGTTCGGGGTATTCTTAAAGATCCTGAACAGCAGTGAGCGGCATTCGGCTTGGCTGTTCTGCTCGGTCCTTCAGAGGTACAGAGCAGAACAGAAAAAGAGTAAAAAAAGTAAAAAAAGAAAATAGCAAACGATTGGGAGGAGCTAGCAGTGACAGCTAGCTCTGCCCAATAGTTTCCTATTGTCCGGCGGCTCTGCTGCTGTAAAATTTTAAAAAACTCTCCCGGGCGCTCTGGGAGCCTCCCGCTCCCCGCCACCCAGGAGAGAAGCACTGATGTGTCTTTTTTTCTTTATTCTGACACGCGATGTCAGAATAGAAAAAAAAAGAAATTTTCCCATTGAAAAGTATTGGGACATTACTATTGGCTATTTCAATTTGCAATAGCCAATAGTAAACTAGCATTGTTCCCACCCTCTGCTGATGGACCTGATGGGGAACTGCAGCAGAGGGCGGGTACAATGCTGCGCTCGGCCAGCTTCGGCTTTCAGCATGGCTCAGCTGAGCCGATGCATATGCGTTTGGCTCGGCCGAGCCGCTCGGCCATGATCGGGAGCTGTACGGGCTATTGTGAATAGCCCGTACAGCACCCCTTCGGTTCTACTGAACCGAAGGGGTCCTGGGGCCGAAGCTAGCCGAAGGATCGGCCGAAGCTACGGCCAGATCCTTCGGCAGCTTCGTGAATAGACCCCCAAGTGATCAGTGATAGAAGCTGTAAACGAGTAGCTACCAAAGATTCTCCAGTTAGTGTACAGGCAGCAAAGAGAGCTACTTATTGAACATATGCTTGACTAATAGAATGTGTAATTTACATAGTTCAACAGGGCCAAAACTGGATATGTGCTTAACACTAGATACCATATTTGGAGATCCAGCATACCAGCATCAAGCTCTGAAGGCTAGTCATTCTAACAATTATAGATTGTTACAGGCTAGAGAACAAACATTTGGCGTATGGAACACCTGAGCCCCTACAGTTTGCAAGTTTGTTCTATATTAGCCAGAAGAATCTTCACATCTGTTATATAACCCACATCAGTTATGGATTCCTGTTATACAATTGGTAGCAATGAAAATGGTCATCTATTACACAATACCTACCATTAATTTAATTTATGGTATACAGTATATTGGTTAACTGAAAACTGAGGACAGCTAGATAACAGAAAATAAATAGTTATTAAACCACAGTCATTAGAAAATGAAGATGTGGTATGAACTCCATATCGGAGGTTTTACATGTAAGCTATTAGTGTATTATGATGTTGCCAAAATAAAATGTATCACCTTCACTGTAGCCTAATTTAATTAAACACTGTAAACCCTATTGTGTTTCTGAAAAAAGCAAGGGTGGAAATTGCATATGTGCTATCTGTCATGCTTTAATCTAGCTTTTTCTTGCAGCCATAGGGATGGTTCACTGTGAAGATACGAAAATCTGATTTATTTTATATAATATTAAAATGGGATCCAGTATTATGGTCTGTCATATGTGCGCTGTATATATTGAGTGTTTGGCTTCATTTTTTTGGTATGCAGAGCTCCTAAGATTTCTAATGGCATGCCTGAGGACACAGAGGGATTATTTACTAAAAGCATGTAAGTTATTAACTTTGCAATGGAATTTTCACTATGTAAGAGAATTTTCCCTAAGCTTAGTGAATGTGGTGAAAACTCACTTTGCACATAATTCCCAATCACATGCATAGAAAAAAACAACAACAAAAAAACAGTATTTTTTACATGGTATTTGATTGGATGACAAAAGTCACTAAAGCTTCACCTCATTCGCTAAGGGAAAATGTCCTTGCAAAGTGAACAGCCTATTTGCTTTTAGTAAATCAAGCCCAGAGTCTCCATCTTAGTCCTCTTAATATAATACAATATTTGAACTTTTCTTAATACAAATAGCCACACAACATAAGGTATAGGGGATTTACTAAAGTAGCTGTGAATCTTCACACAAAAAAACTGTGAAATATTAATTTCAATGATCCAGTCATGTGCTGATGAAATAAGTAAACAGGAATTTGTTTTTTACAAGACTGGATAATCGAAGTGAATATGCACACAATTTATTGTGCAAAGATTATAACTCCTTTAGTGAATCAGACTCATAGTGATAAGCCATAAAACAGTAAAGCATAATTTTCTCCATAATAAAAGTTTATTGATCACATTGAGACAAAAATCCCTGTGCAGGTATAAGCTAGAATTCTTAATTTATAATCATAAGAGACACTAATGATAAAAAGAAGAGAGCTAAAGAAAATCACAAACAGCACGAGAGGCAAAACAAAGGAGTATGAGGGGAAAAGGGTGAGAATCTAGTCAAGTATGGTCTAAAAGAAATCCAAGCACCGTCTTCAAATAATGGAGATAGGGAACCAGGTTATAGGTACCCATAGAAAAGGTCATTACTATCCAATCAGTGGGTGGATACTCTCATTATTCAAGTATATACAATAGTGGTTAAAAAAATGCAGCCAGCAAGCAAATGTGAAAGTATATTGAGACAGCCTATAATGAGCTATGTGGATAAGGTCTTCTATTTCAGCAATTTGAGCGATCTTAGAGAACTAGTCTTTAAGCAAAAGGTGGAGAAGTTGGAGGTGGAGAAGTTGATGTCCACAAAACTGGAATGACTAGTTTTGCCATGTTTAGGCCATGAAACAGTAAAATGTTCCTATATCCGTGAGGAGGAGCATCATTGTGGTACAGTAAGGAAAGTGCAGGTTTGAGAGATAGGAATCTCAAGCTATTGCTGGTAGGTGATCCTCTATTAATTTCCCAAAAAATTGTATCAGTGGGTGTGATCACCAGACATGGATGAATGTCCATACTTCCTGTTGACATCGTCAGCATAAGTCATCACACGCTGGAAAAGAGTATGGGGTGTCTGTGGGACGCCATACCATCGGGTGCATATCTTAAAATTGTTTTACTGTGTGTGGATGTTAATAGAGCCTTTGGAGGTACGTACATTTATGTTTTCCCATTCCTGGCCTTAGAATTGCAACTCTAAATCATTCTCACATTTGAGTTTAAAACAGTCTGGCCCTCGGTCAGTCGGAGTCAACATTAGCTGATATAAAGCAGAGATCAGATGTCAGCAAGGGGGCTTAGAGCTACAGAGGGCTTACATGGTAGTGAGATTCCTACTATAAGCAATTTGTGAGAATGTGTTATCAAGGAAGTGTCAGAGTTGCAAATAAGGAGCAAACTCTCTAACGTCCATGGGAGTCACCTCTAAAAGGGCCTACCTATCTTTAAAGGAAAAAGTGTTGAGTTGTAATGGTTTCCTAGGGTTGCCATTTACCGAGAAAAGAAGGCATGAGACCTGGAGAAAAGTCTGGGTTGTTTCAGATTGGTGTGAGAGAGCTTGGTAAGGAGGTCTGAAGTTGGTTTGCACTACCAATTTACATATGCATAAGATCAGCCCTATCAATGGGTATAAAGAAAATGAATGTAAAGGCAACTACGAGGAGATCAATGGAGAGAGAAATTAAGGATGTGGCCTGTTCAATGCCAATCAAAAAGTATATTAGGGTGGCATTCGGAGTACTATTTTTCCAAGTCGAGAAGCTCTATTCCACCTCTACTTCGTAAGGCACTCGGGGTGTGTAGAGCTTTTCTAGGGGTTTTGTTGGCCCACATGAAAGTACAGAAGAGGGAGTGTACAGAACTGAAAAAGCTCTTAGGCAGAAGAAAAAATAGCTTAAAATAACGGCCCTACCAAACCACGAAAAAATCGCTTTATACCATTGTGCAAGATCAGATTTAATGGTTTGAAGTAGTTTCAGGAAGTTCAACTGGTACAAGTTTGATATATTAGTTGCCAAAATAAGCAATAGCAGATGATTTTCAAGAGAATGTAAAGGCCACAGGCATTCCTCAACTGCATCTGCAGAGATCTTAGG